TAAGGCCTTCGAAACCCTCAAAAAGGCATTTGCCACTGCTCCTGTGCTACACCATCCTGATCCTTCCCTTCCCTTTGTAATCAGAATCAGGTATAGGAGCTGTATTATCACAAAGATTATCCTATAACGAACCCCTCCATCCCTGTTGTTACTTTTCTAGGAAACTGTCTGATGCGGAAAAGAATTACGACATTGGGAATAGGGAACTGTTAGCTATTGTGATGGCATTTAAAGAGTGGAGATACTTATTAGAAGGAGCTAGACACAAAATCCTGGTTATAACTGATCATAAGAATCTCTCCTATATAGCTGATGCTAAAAGGTTATCCTCTCGTCAAGCCAGATGGTCCTTATTTCTTTCACGTTTTCAGTTCATTATCACATATAGGCCTGGGTACCGTAATGTCAAGGCTGATGCTATCTCCCGACAATACGAACCTTTGGAGTCTATCGCGCCCACTCCTGAACCCATTGTACCCACGTCTAAGATAATAGCTGCTACCCGTTTAGATATTTCATCTCTTTTCCTTGATGGTATCAAGGCATACCAAACCCAAGCACCCTCTGAGACACCTGTTGGTAGATTATACGTGAAAGAGAAAGATAGAAAGAAACTGTTAGCTTTATTTCACACCGCCAAAACGGCTGGCCACCCAGGGGTTACCAAAACATACAAGGGTCTCCTTCAACAGTTTTGGTGGCCTTCACTTAAGCAAGACGTGGTGGATTATGTGCAGACTTGTCGTGTTTGTGCACAGTGTAAGTCTCCTAATGTCAAACCCCCGGGACTCCTAATGCCTTTATCCGTACCCAAGAAACCATGGACCCACTTATCCATGGACTTTATTGTGGATCTTCCTTCATGCAATGGAATCACAGTAATTTTGACTGTGACTGATCGATTCTCTAAAATGGCACACTTTATTCCACTTAAGAAACTACCTTCTGCGGTTCAGTTGGCTCAGATATTTGCCAAAGAGGTTTTCCGCTTGCATGGTATACCACAGGATATCGTATCTGACAGGGGTCCTCAATTCGTCTCTCGGTTTTGGAAGGGCTTTTGTGCTGAGATGGGGATTTCCTTGTCGTTTACTTCCTCCTATCATCCACAATCTAATGGAGCGGCCGAACGGGCGAATCAATCTGTGGAGTTATATTTACGTTGCTTCACGAATGCACACCAGGACAACTGGTCTCACCTCCTTCCTTGGGCTGAATTCGCCAGGAACACTGTGACTCATTCGTCCACTGGCTTAAGTCCTTTTATGGTTGCTTATGGGTTCCAACCCTCTGTCCTTCCCGGCGTGTTCTCCGACAAGGGAATACCCGCTTTGGACGAGCACCTCACCTCCTTACGGAAGATGTGGGATCAGGTCCATGCTACTCTTTCTTGTGCGACTGCTACTCAGAAGAAATTTGCTGATCGTCGTAGGGGTGCTGCTCCCTCTTATGTCCCGGGTGATAGGGTTTGGTTGTCCTCTAAGAATCTCCGCCTCAGGGTCCCCTCTATGAAATTCGCGCCCAGGTTCCTTGGCCCCTATAAGGTATTGCGTAGGGTCAATCCTGTGTCCTACTCTCTAGCCTTGCCTCCTTCCATGCGTATACCTAACACTTTCCACACCTCCCTTTTGAAGCCCCTGCTCTGTAATCGATTCTCTGGTCCTCTTAGGCGTCCAGATTCCCTTCGCGCTATCTCTAATGACGTGTACGAAGTAGCTGCTTTGCTTGATTCTCGTTTTTCTTGAGGTCGGTTGCAGTATCTGGTTGATTGGAAGGGTTACGGTCCTGAGGAGCGTTCCTGGGTTTCTGCCTCTGACTTGAATGCGCCATCCTTGATCCGCTCCTTTCATGCGCGGTTCCCTTCGAAGCCTTTATGTCAGGGAGCCGCGGGCGGCGAGGAGGGGAGGCTGCACGCCACTTGCAGCACTCACCCTCAGTCCATCGCTGCCCGCGGTCTCCTCTCTGCTTACCTGTCGGCGAGCGGCGTCTCCTCTGTGCCGCTAGCCGCCAGCGTCCTCCACGCCCCCCAGCGGCAGCATGTATAACGCTGCACGCTGGGAGGTCCAGGAGTTAAGTAAACGCCGGGGTCACGTGAGTGACCCGGCGTTAAAGAAACAGTACCACAATCACAGTGGGGGGTATAGATATCCCCCACGTGTGATTGGATAACTTCCAATCAGAATTAACAATCAGAATTAAACCTAGGGTATTTATACTTACCTTTCCTGTCCCTCAGTGCCCTGTTGTGGTCTTGTGATACCTGTAGCGTAGTGTTTTCGTCTTGCTCTCTGGTTACTGATTATTTGGCTCGTTATTCCGATTATCCTGTCTTCTCCACTCCTTTGACCTCGGCTTGTTTCTCGTTCTCCCGTTTTCTGGCTCCCTTTACCTGGCTTGTCTCCTGACTATTCTTAGCGTGCTTAGCCCGGCCACTCTAAGGTCCGGTACGGCACCTTTTCTGTGAGTGTGTGTGTGTCAGCGTGTTAGGTTCCCCGAATCGTGACAACCTTCCTCGTCTGGATGAAAACCAGCACCTTTAACATCTATGGCTTATGCCAGACACCTATTATTATACTGTTGCTGGACTTTATTGCTGTCAGTCATTATGTATTGCATATTCTAACATATAAAAACATTAATAAAGGCCATATGCACTGCAATGCAACACGTAACCCAACTTAAAGGGACACTATAATCACCAGAACAACTACAGCTTATTGAATTTGTTCTGGTAGATGAATCATTACCTTCAGGCTTTTTGGTGTAAACACTGTCTTTTCAGAGAAAATGCAGTGTTTACATTACAGCCTAGTGATAACTTCACTGGCCACTCCTCATAAAGCTGTTGGAGATCCTTCCTGGGTCATGGCTGCCTAAAATGCATCCAAACATTCCGTATCTCCTCCCTTTGCATGCAGACACTGAACCTTCCTGATAGAGATTCATTGATTCAATTCATCTCTATGAAGAGATGCTGATTGGCGAGGGCTGTGTTTGAATCATGCTGGCTCTGGCCCTAATCTGCCTATTTGTCTGTCTCAGCCAATCCTATGGGGAAGCACTGCAATTAGATCAGGCTACCACTTCTGCTGGCAGTGGGCGGTCTAGAGGAAACAGAGCCAGACCTAGCAGCTCCATACTTGAATACAAGTAAGATTTTACATTTTTTTAGGGAGGCATGGGGGGACCAGGGTGGCTAGATGGTGATTTTAACCCTATAGGGTCAGGAATACATGTTTGTGTTCCTGATCCTATAGTGCTCCTTTAACACAATGCAACACTCCACCAAATGAATTGAACTGCCAAAACTTTATTAGAAGGTTGATTCAATCTGGCTATTTTAACTAATCAACTGGAAGGTGCAAAAGATGTATATTATAAAAAAACAGAATAAAGTTTAAAATAAAATGACACATTACTGAAGATAATACAGTGTAAACCTGTCTGGACCTGGATGCTGGCAAGGACCAACTCATCATAAAAAGAGGACCTATCGATGTGTTCTAGTTACTAGTTCTTTAC